AATAGTTGAAGTATGAATTATATGACGATCAAAGGAGAAAGCTTCAGTATAGGATGTAATTTCAAATAGCATAGTTATCCCTAGTTGAAGCGTCGAAGCATTTTCTATGGTTAGTGGTTTTGAATAAAAAACGAAAATTGAGCGGATACTATTTTCTTTTTATGTCGTTTTGTTGTTTGGTTGTGCTGGTGCAAATTACAGTGATTGATTGATTGCGATTTGCGAAGTTCTAGCTTCACCCGGGCCTTCTGGCTATGGCCCGGCCTGTGTCAGCTTTTTATGGCTGTCTCATTTTGCCTTTTGACCCTTGACGCTTACCGTGGCCGTGGTGTAAGCGTATCGCATAACCTTTTTTACGGCTGTTGTAGGCGGTCCCTGCCTCATGAATTGTGTATGCCCACAATTCTCTAGGTAATGAGCAAGTGTGGCGTTCGGCTCGCCACAGTGCATGCAACTCCTCACTTCATGGTCTATAGTCTGGATTATCTGCACAGTGGAAACCTAGGCGCATTCTGTGAAGAATGACTTCGGTACCTCTGTTGTTTATTTCAGAGAGTGCCAGTGGTTCATAGCCTGTGGCGTCTGAGTACTAGCTGGCCGAGGGGGAGGATCTCGTTGCCTCTCTGTGAAGCTGCAGGAGGAAGGATTTGGTGACACCAGTACCCTTCCCCCGAAGTAATTTTCGGCCAGGTCTTATGATCATGGGATTAGGGGGCATGCCTCTGCCAGTGCCGGCTAGTCTGTCGGCAAGCTCGTTCTCTCTGATGCCAATGTGGCTGGGGACCCAGTTGAGGATTATTCTTCTACCCTGAGCAAGAATTCTTTGGGCTATGGTAAGTATCGTTGTCAGGAGGTAGATGTCTTTGGGTCAAATTGCAGTATTCGTCATTATTTTACTCCCGTCCGTAATTTAATCAATGGTTATTTCAGGTAATTATCTTTTGTACGTATAGTATTGTTTTTGATCACTGAACTTTTAGATCTGTATGTCAACGTTCTGCCCAAATATTTATCACTAGTCAAAAAAAATAATGATACATACATTCTTATCTCCATATATGTCATTAATGTAAACATATCAATTCATTCACCGTCATTCAAGAGACCTATGAGTTCTTCTTTTAATAGATATTGTACTTTTCGTACCAATATGCTTTAAGTAATTTAACTGATGTAAGTGTAGGCCTACTTCCTCTTCGTTTTGTCTACCCCTCTATTTTATCGCACCTTGTATCTCTGTGGTGTGATTCCCTTCTTTGCTCATTGCCCAATTATGTAGAAGTGGCAAAATGAGATTACGTTAAACATTGTGTACAAAGTAGTGGTGGTCGATTACAGCGTGAAATTTCTTAGTTATCGAATATAATTTCTCGTAATCGATTCCCAAAGAATTACTCCCAGAGTCAGGGTTGAACTCAGGACTGTCTCAATATATTTCAGTTTAGCAAAACTTATCATGACATTTGTGTCTACGCTACAAGTTATTTCTTGCACAGATACAAGGTTTGACTTTTCTTTTTTTCAGGTGCATTATTGCTCGCCTTGCTCGTTCACGCCCGTTATCATTTGGGTGTTTGGGTGGTGGTGGGGGAGGAGGGGGGGAGGGAAATGGCGACAGGATCCGTTTCAAAACACACAGATACAGATAGAGAGAGAGAGAGAGAAAGACAGAGACAGAGAGACAGAGAGACAAAAAGACAGAGGGAAATAGAGAGGGGGTAGGTAGAGGAGGGGGAGACACTAAAACTATAAATGTATACCTTATACTCTACACAAATATACTACTGCATAATATATTTCCAGGTGAATGTAATCGAAAAGTAATAGATTACTGATCGCAAAAGTAATCGAGGTAAAAAGTAAAAACACTCACAAATTAACAATACAGTAGTTCTCGGGTCGCCGAGGAACTGGACAGACTGGAATCTTCCACCTCTCCTTATAGTTCTTAGGCTCATTACTATTGAGTTCTTAGGGTCAACACTGATTCACTTTCACTCTATGATGCTCGTAGCTGAACTATCCTCTGCCAATGAAGGTAGACCTAGGGATATCATGTCACCTAAGCAGAAAGCTGTGATAGGAGACACGGGAAACAAAAGATACTATTCGAAAAATTGGAAATCTTCCCATAAAGTAAATAATATGAAGATGTGTTCTTTGACTCCAGCTACTGAAGAATAACGCCATCTTTTCGTTCAATATACTTATTCGTAACTTTGATGTTCGTTTTCCCCTACATCTAAAACATAAGTATGTATTTATATAAAATGCTAAGGAGGAATAGAGTTTCGAATTATATTTTAGTACACTTGCTGGGTACTATTTTTCAACATCTGGCGGTTATTTTGAATGTCCCTTTATCTTGTGCTAAAATCTGACCACTTGCTTCGCTGTAATTTTTCCGTGTTTTTTTTTGTTCTATGAATAGACGTAACCACATTCTAATAGCTGACCGAGAAAATACTGTTTGTTTCGACTCGACCGACTACTAGCTGGATGGTTCCAAGGAGGGAGAGTATCAAAAGGCAAGGAGCTGATTCCCAATACATGTGCTGTAAAATGTGTGATATTAAAAAAATAATTAAAAAAAAAAGAAAAAAAAACTATATATATACATATATGATGTGCATAATATATATACATATATATACATACATTACATGTTATGTATAATCTTGATATGTTTACGAACTAATAAAGTGACTTCAGTATTTTCTTTTCGTCAGATCCAAACAGTGGTTCATTAAATAAAAAATATAAATACATCGATGTATGTGCTTGCGTGCGGTAGAATTAAGATTGTTAAACAATTTAGAATCAAAGAATTTATATTTAAGACACATCTTGAATCCCTTCTTGCCCAAAATACCATAGCAAGATTTTTTTTCAGTAGGATGCTTATTCATTTTGAAGATTTTTTTTTTTTCTAAGAAAATTGGTGAAAATGCATCGTTATTTAAAACCTTGTCTAATCCTCGGGGCAGGATTAGACAAGGGTTTCCTCCACAATACTTACAATACGTGTAAAGAGAAGTTTATCTTGCACGAATATGATTGTTTCTGGGAAGGGCCAAAGCATAGCAGCGTTCTGATGGGAGGAACATTTCTTCTAGCAAATCAATGTGTTTGTAACGAAATTGAATCTCTTCTTTTTCGGCTGGTTCACCAACACCATGCAGTAAGATCCACCCCACATCATTTCGTTTATGATATCTTAGAAGTAAATAATGATAGAGAACCACAACCAGAGCATGAGGAGACGCATCCACATTCTAAGAGCTCAGTGAGGAAATACAACTCGAGCAACTACTAGTTGGGTGGTTCTAAGGAGGCTGAATGGCAAAGGTCCAAGGATCGACAGACACCAAAAAATGTGCTGTATGACGTATGATGTATTTAGAAGAAAAAAAATCACTCTGATAAAATGGGAATTTCATCTCACTCTGTACTTTTATCTGTCATATATACTATTTATATTTTCCTTCTGTTTATCGGTTTACAGTATGCGCAAAGGTGTAGATGAAATAATGCCATTGAATATTTATAAATTCTAAATATCTATTTTGCGGCCAATCCTATTAGACGCTAAGTAAGAAAGAAAACATGTTCGGTGGTATATATCATAATATACGGAAAATCCGTGAAAACGAGGTTGCCAAACTGACACCTTTTTCAAGAAGGGCGCAAGACAAGATGCAATTGCAAAAAAAGGAAGCCGCATCACTGGGATGAGGAAAGGAATATCCCCCCAGTGAAATATCCAGAGAGCTGGGTATCTCCCGGTCAGCAGCTGGATACGGTGGAAGGAGGAGGGCACATCCTCATTCCGGCGCTACTCGAAGATCACCCATGCAACTAAAATTCATGAAGACTTACAGCTCCCGGTAACAGAGCGCTCAGTGAGAAAACGACTACATGCAGATGGGATACATCACAGAACGTCTTCAAGGAGAGGTTGAACAAACGACTTCGTTAACGTCAAGTCCAGTTCGCTCAGCAGTATGTGGAGAAAGATCTAGATTACTGGAGAAGTGACAGATAAAAAAGGATCCCATCGCGCACGGGAAGCTCGATGAGAAACAACAGGTATAAATATTAACCCCAGTGAATTTGGTCGTCAATTAATTCAGTTCAAATTAAAATTAAGATAAGTTTATACGTAAATAATAGTGCCCTATATGTGATGCCTTATTTTCTGATTCTCTATTATTATCAGACGAAATATCTATAAAACGGCAAGCAGTGGCCACGTGACCTGTAATATGTGGGAATGGATCTCCCTGCATGGCACTGGTGAACTCGCCCAAAGAAGGGAATTTCGGTTTAGACAAACATATCAAATTATAAGAAGAAATGTTCCTGCTTTCAGTACGCTGCTATGCCATAGCTCTTCCCAGAAACGATCACATTCGTGCAGTATAGCTTCCTGATACCCACGTCTAGGATGTATGAAGTGGTTCCAAAACCAAAACCACCAGGAGGTCCTTCGGTCGCCAAGCAAGGCACGTGGCTCAAACCCGGGCGAATATTGTCAGTGTATGAGAAGCAGCTAATAAAAGAACTCCCAAAGAGCTAATAGATCATGCTAAGAGGGAATGATACTTTACATAATCACGTCACCTTTGTCCAAGGAATCAACAAAGGTTTTGAATAACGATAGATTATTCTTATAAGTATGACCCCCCCCCCCCCCAGTATAAAATCAAACCAAATTAATGAAAGAAGAGACTATCGGACGAAGCATAATCTTATAATCAATTATGAAGCTGTGGAAACTGTCGATTAATTCATTTATCTAGGAGCGACTTTCACTAACAACTATGACGATTCAAAAGAGTTTAGAAGAATTGCCATCGCAAGAAATGCTGCTGTCTAAATAACGAAATTCTGGAAAAAAACAAATCTCTATCATTAAAAACGAAGAAAAGAGTTCTTCAGTCAATGGTGTTTCCCGTTGCCTGTTACGGTACAGTGTTAGGTAATGAAGAAAAAATGACTTGTCGTACTACAGACGTTTACTTCTTGTTAGTTTGACTGATCGCAGGACAAATAGTTGGGTATAAGATAAAATACATCCATGAGAGAATATTGAACACCATCGACAGACTTGACCTGAAGTACGTTGGTCACGTACTTATTTATTTTCCTCTTCTTCATTTCCTAATCTTCCTTATCATCATTCCCTGGTTTTCTTTCTTGTTCCTCATCATTTCCCAATCTTCCTTCCTCCCCTTTCTTTCCTTAAGCTTCCTTCTTTCTTATCATTTTCTACTACTTCCTTCTTCTCGTTCGTCTCTTCGTCTCCCCAAGTTTCATTCTCATTACCATTATTAGTCTACTTTTTTTGGGCTCTGTTCCGCAAGTTTATTGATCCCGACAGCAGTTGCCCCCCCGAGAGCGCCTCCGCCAGCGGCCAGTCCAGCTGCGGTGGCTGCGCTTATACCAGCTGCTCCAGCCGACTGCAAGACTGCAACCTGCGTCAAGATAGAGAAGGGTGCGTATAATGTCGGTTGCTGATGGATCCAAAAGTTAAGTACATCTGTCAAAGAAATTAATCAAAAGTATAGTACGTCTGTCAAAGAAATTAATCAAAAGTATAGTACGTCTGTCAAAGAAATTAATCAAAAGTATAGTACATCTGTCAAAGAAATTAATCAAGAGTATAGTACATCTGTCAAAGAAATTAATCAGAAGTAAAGTACATCTGTCAAAGAATTTAATCAAAAGTATAGTATATCTGTCAAAGAAATTAATCAAAAGTATAGTGCGTCTGTCAAAGAAATTAATCAAAAGTATAGTATATCTGTCAAAGAAATTAATCAAGAGTATAGTACATCTGTCAAAGAAATTAATCAGAAGTAAAGTACATCTGTCAAAGAATTTAATCAAAAGTATAGTATATCTGTCAAAGAAATTAATCAAAAGTATAGTGCGTCTGTCAAAGAAATTAATCAAAAGTATAGTATATCTGTCAAAGAAATTAATCAGAAGTAAAGTACATCTGTCAAAGAAATTAATCAAAAGTAAAGTACATCTGTCAAAGAAATTAATCAAGAGTAAAGTACATCTGTCAAAGAAATTAATCAGAAGTAAAGTACATCTGTCAAAGAAATTAATCAGAAGTATAGTACATCTGTCAAAGAAATTAATCAAAAGTATAGTACATCTGTCAAAGAAATTCAAACTGTAACTCTTCATGCCCACTAATGATGAAACAATACCAATGTCACCGTAAAACACTTGTTAAACGTATCCATGTTCGTTTAATTCGACTTCCCACTCTATCTATTATAAAGATTAATGTCAATCCTCTGAAGGATGATTAATTTCCGTCTCTTTTTCCCAATAAAGTCATTATATAGTAGGGTTTAATACATAGTAGTGGTAATAATTGCATGGGTGTTGAGGAGGGAGAGTCTCAGGGGTTAGTCGGAAGCAAAAATCCTACACGTTCGAACCCCGGGTACTTCCTCGTAGGATCTCAGTGCCCTGCCAGTTCCTGAGCTCTTCCAGAGATCATGGGATAGAAACAAGGTTGGCTAATGGACGGGAAGTGGCCCCGGAAGACGCCTCCTGATGGAACTCTTCTCGGAGGCCGGATTTATTTCACCGACTAAGATAAGAGCAAGAAGCGCCTCTCACCGTGCTTCCAGCGGCTATGGCTCCTCCGTTGGCAACGGCAGCAGAGGACATCATCGAAGCCGCGAAAGATCCGGCTGCGATGCCTCCGGAGGTGAATCCCGCGCCTGGAGATAAAAAGGGGGGTTACGGGAAGTAAGTGTCGGTCAAAATAGATACAAGAAAAAATATTTAGAAGCAATAAAGGGATTTTTACGGAAATTACATAGTAATGGTAATCATAATGCTAGTATTCAAAACGTATTACGACGAAGGAAAAGTTCCAACATGAGAAAAGGAAAAGGAAAGTATGAAACCGTCAAACTATTTATCCAAAACAAAAGAACGCTTTAGCGCGCCGCTACGCTCACCCGCCAACACAAGCGGAGCAGCAGCAACGGCGCCGACTGCCCCTACAGCGACACCAGCGCCTATTAAAATCTTCTTTGTAATCGGGTTCATGCCTGAAGGTGTAGCTGGAGCGCTTTCCTGTTAATAATAATATCAATAGTAATAATAAATAATAATATACCTTAAAAGCTAACCAGTTGCCTTTCCGACCCACTGAGCGGAGGGCAGAAAGACAGTTAGTGGCGCCTCACCCATTCGGACAGCTCAGTTCCAGGTCCTCACTGCGAACCTCCTTCAGGCATGGTTTGCTGACACTGAGCTTAGCGACCGAGACCGCCATCGGCTGACGCAGCACGAGGTCGAAGGGTCGCTTGCACAAGAGGCACACGTCTGCTTTTTGACTGCGATTTGGTAATTTAGGTATTATATAATGTACATATATGTGTGTGTATGTAATCTATATATATATATGAGTATATATATACATATATATATATAGATACATATATGTGTATATATATATCGATT